ACCAAGCACGTTTACCATTTACACCACCCAGGAACTCCAAGGGAGGGGAAAACCCGTTGAAATCGAGTAGATTCTGACTCATAGCGACCCAAAGGGACAGAGTAGAACCGCCCCATAGAGTTTCCAAGGCTGAAATCTTTACAGAATGGAGCCTTGGTGGCGCAGTGGTTAACAGCAACAGCAAGCTACAGCGGCTAACCGAAAGGTCGGCAGTTCAAATTCACCAGCTGCTCCTTGGAAACCCTATGGGGCAGTTCTACTCTGTCCTATAGGGTCGCTATTGAGTTGGAATCAACTTGATGGCAATGGTTTAATCTGTAAAGGCAATGGTTTAATCTTTACAGAAGCAGACTGCCACAGGGATCAGCTGGTGGATCCCAACCACTTGACCTTTAGGTTAGCAGCCAAGGGCTTTAACCACTGTGCCCCCAGGGCTCCCTAAGGGAAAGGAAAAAGCCTACCAAAAGCAAACCTATTGCCTTGAGTGGATTCTGACTCATAGTGACTCTATAGGTCAGAATAGAACTGCCCCATAGGGTTTCCAAGGAGCGGCTGGTGGATTCAAACTGCCGACCTTTTGGTTAGCAGCCAAGCTCTTAACCACTGCACCACCAGGGCTCCAAGGGAAGGAAAAGGGGGGAGGTAAAAGGTCAAAGCAATACAGCCCCAGCGTGGGGAAGCCCTGCCTCCATCTCCCTCAGTGTTGCAGCCGACAAGCAGGGTAGAGACCTCCAGGGAAAGGGAGCACATGGGACTGGGGCCCCTTCTCAGAACGCTGCCAAACTCCCCTCACCCAGCTCGAGAAGCAGGAAGGGAGGGTCGCTTACACTGGTTTTACAGAACTGGTACAATCAGTTAGAAGGGGCCCCAGGAGGCCTGGTTCACTCTCAGGATTCCTGTCTCCCCTAGCAGTTAAGATAAGAGTGCTTTGGCCTTGGGATGGTCGGTTCTAAAAGGCAGCCTTTTTGTTCTTATTATTCGTTGTTATGGAGTCTGTTGCAAATCATGGCTGCCCCATATGTGCAGAGTAGATCTGCTACATAGGATTTTCAAGGCCGGGACCTTTTGGAAGCAGATAACCAGGCTTATCTTCCGCGGCACCTCTGGGTAGGTTAGAACCACCAACTTTTGGGCACTTAACTGTTTGCGCCACCCAGGCAGTCCGAAAGGCAGTCTAAATGTTATGAATTCTTTCATAAACAGTTTTAAAGAAAAGAAAAAATACAGTCTTGCTTGCACAAAAGCTAACTGTCATGGATTGAATTGTGTCCCCCAAAAGCGTCTCTCAACTTGGCTGGGTAATGATTCCCAGTATTGTATGATTGTGTACCATTTTGTAACCTGATGTGATTTCCTTATGTGTTGTAAATTCAATCACTATGATCTAATAAGATGGATTAGTGGCAGTTATACTGATGAGGTATACAAGATTGGATAGTGTCTTAAGCCAATCTCTTTTGAGATATAAAAGACAGAAGTGAGCAGAGACACATGGGAACCACATAACACCAAGAAAACAGTGCCAGGAGCAGAGCGCATCCTTTCGACTTGAAGTTCCTGTGCTGAGATGCTCCCAGACCAAAGGAAGACTGATGCATCACAACGACCTTCGTCCAGAGCCGACAGAGAGAGAAAGCCTTCTCCTGGAGCTGACGCCCTGAATTTGGACTTGTAACCTACTGGACTATGAGAGAATAATCTTCTCTTTGTTAAAGCCATCCACTTGTGGTATTTCTGTTAGAGCGGCACTAGATGACTAAGACACTAACCCACTCGTTTTGTGAGCTAATTATTTTTTAAATTTTGATTTTTTTCTGAAGTATATATTTACAAATGAAGAGGAAGGAGTGAGTGTCGTTTCTTTTCTGGAGAACAGAATCTAAGGTTCTCCACAGTGACAAGGGCCAGATCAGAAGATCCAAGTGCCAGAGGAGTTCAAAAGGGGGACAACAGCATTGGGTTGGGTCATCTGGAAGGACTTTGGGGAAGTGGCATCTAGTACAGCCCTTTGATACAGGCAAGAGAGGCCTGGGACATGGCCCTACACCTTAGAGGGCTGCCTCTGGCCTTCCTCTATCTGTTTGTGTCCCCACAGAGCAAGGAGCCCACGAAGCCAAGGGACTGTGCTCCTCTGAGCCTGTGCTCCTCCACTCTAGACCACAGTCCAGATACCTGGGAACCTGGAGATCGCTGCCTAGATGACTCAAGGCTGCTTGGGCTTGCACAGTGTGACCCTAATACTCCACAACATGTTTTTCTCCTTTTCAAAATGGGTGATTGAGAGCTTGACATAACTAACACCATGATGAACCCAAAAGTTTTTTCTGCCTGCCTTCTCCTTTCCACATACTTTTGTTAATGACTTTGTTTTGTTCTGTCCGGCCACCTGTGACTTACGACCCCCCCACATGAAGATTAGAGCCTAGATGTCTGGCATGTATATCTTTAGCCTGATAAGGAGATGTCCAGCATGTATCTCTTTAGTCTGATAAAGAGTCTCTTGTAATTATCTTGTAATGAATAACTCATCCGGCCATGCCATCTGCGGGCTACATGCCAAAAGATGCTTCTAACCCTTGTAACAGCCATATATAAGCTCTAATGTAAAATTGGAAACCCTGGTGGCATAGTGGTTAAGAGCTACAGCTGCTGAACAAAAGGTTGGCAGTTCAAATCAACCAGGCACCCTTTGGAAACTCAGTGGGGCAGTTCTACTCTGTCCTGTAGGGTCACTATGAGTCGGAATCAACTCGATGGCAATGAATTTGGTTTTTAATGTAAAATTGCCTTTTGGGACTGCATAAAGACAGCCTGCGTTGCCGCCGGACTCCCCATTGGTGTCACCTCCTAAATAAAACTTTTTCTCTCTTTCTAACTTGGAGTATGTTTCATTGGCTCACCTGCTCCAGGGCACGGACCTTAACTGGGCAACAACAGGCCTCTTCCTTTGGTCCATCTTCCTGTCAAATAAAAAGCAAATACCAATTTTGACAGGGAGGAGCTTTATTCGGAAAGAAAAAAGGGAAAAGGGATTACTGCAGTAGTAGGGGAGGGGGACTACTACAATAAGGAGACCATTCCCACCATAAGATCTGCCAGTGTCTCAAAGAGTTAGGGAAAAAGCATTTTCTTTTATAGAGATGAGAGTAAAGGGTAGAAAAAACCCAGGTGTGGGGGGCTGGGATGAGTGGGTGACATCAACAGATAGTAAATCAGAATGTTTTCTGCTGAGGTCAGCTTATTCTCTGGTGGGGTGGTGGTGGTCGGGGGGTGCTTAAAGAGGGGAGTATGTTGGCTAAGGCTGAGGGTTGGCCAAAGTTGAAGGACTTGGGGAAAAGAGAGAAGCTTCACCAAAGTTGGGTTAACAAGCATTTTGTTTCTGATTGATCAGTGGGAACAAGCAGTTCAGTTAATCATTTATGAGGCAAAGAATGGGGATTTGGAGGGTCTATGTGCTAGCCCTATCACTACACTCATCACACTGCTTTGAAACTGCCTGGCCTGTCTCTACCAAGACCGTGAGTTCAGTTAGATGAGCTGAGGGAAATTCAATGTAGGAGTGGCAGAGAGGGTCAAACAATTTGGTTTCATTTTAGTTTGCTTTTTTTTTGGTGAAAATATACACAGCAAAACATACATCCATTCAACAATTTCTACATGTACGGTGACACTGGTTACATTCTTCACATGTGTCACCATTCTCACTGTCTCTTCCCAAATTATTTGACCACCATTAAATTTAGGCCCCTTTGCCCCCTAAACTTATGTATGCTTTAGAGTTACTGTTTTCAACTTGATCTCAGGTAGACAATTCTTTAAAAGAGCACAATGCTCAAGGCCAACATTCCTTACTAACTGAGCTAAGCTGTTGTTTGGTTTAAAGATGACTTTAGGAGATAGTCTTGGTTCAAGGCTTAAAGATTACTCAGGGCAATAGATTCGCGTGTTCCTCCAGTCTCAAGTGGTTCTAGGAAGGCTAGATTCTGTTAAGAAGTTGAAATTTTGTTCCATGTATTCCCCTTTTGGATCAGGATCCATCTGTCGAATCCTTGATCAAAACATTCAGTAATAGCTGGGCACCTTAGTTTATACTTTTAACCTCTTGTGTTCGTCACAATCCTTAAAAGTGATATTCAGCCAGAGGACAAATAGGAAAAGAATTAAGAAAATGGTTGATGGAGGTGGTTTGGCATCATAGGAAATACACTGTGCTTTAAAAGCTTTTTCCCCCCTCAGGAGGCCTGAGTCCTTATGCTAGTTCTCATCTGACTGGTCTGGTGTGTCTGTACACATGTGCATGTCTGTGTGCGTGTGGGGGTACGTGCGCACATGTGCATAGAGGTTGGGGGTAGGAGGAGTTGATTGATCCACCCAGAACCTTCTTTGGTAAACTAACCTGTACCTGTTGCCGTCATCGATTCTGACTCATAGTGACCCTATAGGACAGAGTAGAACTGCCCCATAGGATTTCCAAGGCTGTAAATCTTTACAGAAGCAGGCTGCCACACCTTTCTCCCTCCAAGTGGCTGGTGGGTTTGAACCTTTCGGTTAGCAGCTGAGCTCTTAACCACTGTGCCAACAAGACTCCTTTGGTAAAATAGGGGGTTGGGCTATCAGGGGTTTCAAGCCCTCAGAGGTTCTGAACCCTCCCTTAGGGACAGCTCTCCCAGCGGGAGCCCACTGCAGCCCTTCTCCCACAGACCTGAGCAGCATTCTTTTCTGTGCTTTACTTACAAGATTATCTGGAAAATTTCATCCTCAACAAGGCTTCCAACCCTGAAGGAAAAAAGCTCAAAGTGGGCTAGCACTGTAAAGCACTTTCTGGGTCCTAATTCTTGGGGTTCTGTCATTCTGTAAGAGGAAAACAGCAGCTGGGGCCTGTGGGTTGTGGATGCAGCTGAACACGGAGCCCTGATGTGATTCCTTGGAATGCAGTTTATGGATTTTAGTCCTCTGTGACTCTAAATATCTTCCTTCTTCTTTCTTTGCCTCCCTCCCAGGGACTCACTCTCTGAGATATTTTCGCCTCGGTGTTTCGGACCCTGGCCCTGGGATCCCTGAATTCATTTCAGTTGGTTACATGGACTCTCACCCTATCACCACATATGACAGTGTCACTCGGCGGAAAGAGAGCCGGGCCCCATGGATGGTGGAGAACCTTCCTCCTGATCACTGGGAGAGGCACACCCAACTGCTGAGGGGCTGGCAGCAGATGTTCCTGACGGAGCTGAAGAACCTGCAGAGTCACTACAATCACTCAGGTGGTAAATGCAACAGAGATGAGTGCTTTCCCTCATGAGCCCTCCAGGGAGGGCCCTGGGCTGACAGCCAATGTGAGCAGTAGTCGCTGAGTTCTGCTGTCTGTGGCTTTTGGCAAAGCCTGGAACACCTGGGTTGTTTGAGTTCAGTGCCTGCCATCTGCCCTGTGTAGCTTCTGAATTGTCTATGTCTTCCCCAGGAGCCCTTGTCGCATCCCTATTCAGGCTTACTATGTTAACTTCCCCAGGTTATTTCTGGCTCCTGCAGAGCTCTCCCTCCCCCATGGCACTCATGTTGTTGTTAGGTGCTGTTGAGTGGATTCTGCCTCATAGTGACCCTATAGGACAGAGTAGAACTGCCCCCATGGGCTGTAGTGTTTATGGAACCAGATTGCCAGGTGGAGCTGCTGGGTGGGTTTGAACCGCCAACTTTTCAGCTACTCATTCAGAGTAGCCACCTGGAGGCACAACAATGCCATGACAGGCTTGTGAGGTGATGTGTTCTGGGGCAGAAGAGCCTCCATGCCCCGTCTTACTACCTTTCCCACCTCCTGTATCCCTGTGTAACCCTTTTCCTGGCCTGTTGCAGGGTTTCACACTTTCCAGAGAATGATTGGCTGTGAGTTGCTGGAGGATGGCAGCACCACAGGATTTCTTCAATATGCGTATGATGGACAGGATTTCATCATCTTCCAAAAAGACACTCTCTCCTGGATAGCCGTAGATAGTGTGGCTCAAATCACCAAGCGGGCATGGGAGGCCAACCGGCATGAGTTACAATATCAAAAAAATTGGCTGGAAACAGAATGTATTGCCTGGTTAAAGAGATACCTGGAGTATGGGAAAGATACCCTACAAAGGACAGGTAAACAGAAGAGAGAACACTTTCCCCGCCACCCCCAACACCCTTGGCTTTATTCATAACTTCCTCTAATCTAGATTATATTCACTGTATCCTAAACTCCATCTCTTTTATTGGACTAACATGATCCATGACTCCCTGTGAAAACTTTCACTAGTTGCTTTTGGTCAATATTGTGACAAGAGTCAGCAATTCCTCTTGTCTTGACAGAGAGGAGTACCTCCAATGACATCTCCTTTTGGGAATATCCAGTAAGGCAGATCATTCCATCTCCTGCCAATGACAAGTTGGGAAATACTTTGGGAAGTGGAACAGTTCTTACAAGTTGTTTTGTAACTAAGGGCTCACACAATACCAGGATGACTGAAAATCTGGACTTACAGGGACTACAGAGGATCTTAGCTTTACTAAAGGATTTGTAATAAGATTCCTTTCAATAAAGCGCTCCTCTTACACATTTACCGTATGATTCAGTTGGTCAACTTTTAGTTAAATACAGGATGTCTCAGCTGTCTAGTGCTGCTATAACAGAAATACCAACTGGAAGCCAGGAGGCAAGGGAGCCCTTGAGGTGCAATCTGACAAGTACAGCCTCCTGGGGCACAAAAGGCCCAGAAGGGCAGAGACTAGACCTGAGGGTGGCCATGCGAGAATAGCCACTATACACACTGTAGGTTATATTTGGCTGGGAAGATTAAGATTGCTAACTCAACAGAAGCACATGTTGGAATGAAGTTGGGATAATTTTCCAAAATATGTGTGTGTATGGTGGTGGTGGTGGACTTGCTGTTCTCAGAAAAAGTGGGACTTATAGATGTTGGGCCAACAAAACAATAATCCTGAGTAAAATAATAAATAGGTGTGATAATGCCTACCTCACAGAAATTAATGTGACACAGTGTATTTGAAGGCACTTTGTAAAACTATAAAGCTCCATTCACACACAAAATTTTATGATTGTTCCCAGACAAGAAGCCCCTGACAGCTTAGGTTCTGGTTAAAATCTATGGCCACTTGGTGTTGTACAGAACTGTCTTAGTTATTTAGTGCCGCTATAGCTGAAATACAAGGGGATGGCTTTAACAAGCAAAAGTTTATTCTCTCACAGTTTAGAAGGCTGGAAGTCCGAATTCAGGGCGCCAACTCTACGGGAAGGAAGGCTTTCTCTCTCTGTCGGCTCTGTGGGAAGGTCCTTGTTATCAGTCTTCCCCTGGTCTAGGAGCGTATGAGCACAGGAACCCGGGGTCCAAAGGACACACTCCACTCCCGGCTCTGCTTTCTTGGTGGTAGGAGGACTTTTCTCTTCTCTGCTGGATTCTCTGACTCAAGATACAATCTAATCCTGTAGTCCTGACTCATTAACATAACTGCCTCTAATCCCTGCCTCATTAACATCATAGAGTTATAATTCACAACACACAGGAAAATCACAGCAGATGGCAAAATGGTGTACAGCAACACAATACCGGGAATCATGGCCTAGCCAAGTTGACACATATTTTGGGGGGACACAATTCAGTCCATAACAAGGACCCTTAATAGCCGAGACATTTTAGCCTTAAGTTAGGCAGATATGAAGAGGGGTTGTATGAGTCTCTAGTTCTTGATCTTGATGAGCTGTCAAAACTTTGACTGCAAATAAAGGAACCCCCTAGTTGCTCAGCCTGCTGCTCTTGGTGAATCCAGCACTGGAGAGAATGTAGGGAAACTGGGACAAATTTGCTATGAATTGGGATTTGAGGGTTAAAACTAATCCTGTTGATTCTCTCTGGGTGTGAAGGGCCTTTCAGAGAAACAGGGGGAACCTAGGTAACTGTAAAGCGTGGGAAGTCTGACTTCAATGTATCTGCTCCCCCTGTCAAACCTCTCCGTCTGCCATCAGTCCTAATGGAGCCTCAACTCTTCAGTCAAAACTTACTCTCAGAAAAGGACCTGGAATCAATTTCTTACAAATACTGTCAGAAATCATAACCTCTCCCGGGGGCATTTATATTTTATTTTTAATGTTGAAATGAAAGTCTTTTCTGTTACTAAGTTTCATGCCTCAGAGAAAAAACCAAGGAAAGTATTGTTGAGATGGATACTTCTTTCCAGGATCAGAAGTGGCTGATAGTGAGGAGGTGAGTCTTAGAAATGAGCAGGAAGCTGTTTCTCCAGATAGTGCTGTTGGGCTCTGCAGGGCTGACATTTGGATGTGACCCAATTTCAGCAGGAAGTGTGAAGGACAGCACCATCTGAGAAATTAATTGAGTAGTCAAGAGAAAGCAAGGTCATGAATGGACAATCCTTTGTTGTCACTGCTGGAGCCCCTCTATGATATGAATCCCTGTAGCCCCTTCAACGGCACGAGGACAGCATCATCTATTACATATGTTTGTGTCCAATGATAGCTACCAAAGTGTCAGCCCAAGTACACAAGGCAATTTGAAGCCAAAGCTGGCCTGAGGTGGCTGCACTGTTTATTTGCACTAAGCACAGACTTGGGAACTAGCAGTGCTGAGTTTGAATCTTTATCCTGTTGCTGAATTAATTATCAGAACAGTCACTTAAACATATAGCTCAGTTTTCCTTCTCTGTGACTCATAAAAGATGTTTCAAAGGTTAACAATAAACGATCCCAACATACTTTCCAAATACTCAGAGCTATAGGCTTTCCCTCCCCGCCCCACTTAGAGGACACAGCATAGCTGAACTCCACATTCTTCATTCGTAGGCACACAGCCCTAGTAGAAACTGAACAATAAATAGGTTTGTTGTTGATGAACCTGGGTTCTGGATCATTCTTAGTTTTAGATGTTCCTGCAGTGAAGAAAATTAATTGGGAAACCCAGTTCCCAAGTTCTAATATTGTATGCTCGGTACATAAGATACTTGTATTTAACTCTAGCTTCTTCTTTTTAGAGCCTCCACTGGTCAGAGTAAATCGCCAAGAAACTTCTCCAGGGATTACAACTCTCTTCTGCAGAGCTCATGGTTTTTACCCCCCAGAGATTTCCATGATCTGGATGAGAGATGGGGAAGAAATTATCCAAGAAATTGATTATGGAGACATTCTTCCCAGTGGGGATGGAACCTATCAGACATGGATATCAGTTGAGATGGATTCTCAGAGCAGCAATATTTACTCCTGTCACGTGCAGCATTGTGACCGCCACATGGTTCTTCAGGTCCCGGAAGGTAAGGACAGAGGTTGCGGCACTCTTTCAGGGAAGTGATATTGAGAAAAATGGGAAAGCAGGAAGCACTGCTGCCTGCCGAGGAAGGGAAGAATGGATCACTGCATTCACATAGCTGGCTTTAGAATGGGTGTTTTAAATCAGTGGTTCTCAGACTGTTTGGTCTCAGGGCTCCTTTATACTCTTAAAAATTATTGAGGATCCCAAAGAGCTTTTGTGTATGTGGGTTTTATATATGTGCGCGTGCATGTGTGTGTGTGTGTGTGTGTTGCTATTTATCATATCACAAATTTGAAAATGAGAAATTTTAAAACACGAGACAGAAGCACACATTCCATTAGTCATCAGAGTGATGACGTTATCACATCATAGAGCCTCTAGAAAACTCCTCTGTACACGCATGAGAGATTGAAATTTAAAAAAGCAAATCATGCCTTAGACCTCATGGATTCCCTGAAAGGGTCTCAGAGACCCCTTGGGGGTCTTTGGACCACACTTTGAAAACTGCTGTTTTAGGTTATTACCCCACCTAGGAGCTGTGAGACCACAGTAAGAAAAATAGCATTGGATTTTCTGATGGTCACAGGAACACAAGTCTCTGAAAGTTAACAAAGAAGGGAGAGGCGATTGTCTATTTTTCTTCATTTGCTTGGTTTTAGAATCGGAAACTATCCTTCTGGTGATGAAAGCCATCTCTGGGTCCATTGTCCTTGCCATCATCCTGGCTGGAATTGGCATCCTAGCCTGGAGAAGAAGGCCCCGAGGTGAGAGGCATGTGGAGGGAACATAGGGGGCTGAAGATAGCTCTTTCCTACAGCTCCGGAGAGTTTTATCTTCTGCAGCCTGCCGCTCTGAGCTTCACTTAGATACAGGCTGGCCCTTACTTTGAGAACACAGAAGGGACTGGGACATTTCTCCTACCATATAGGGAAATCACATCATGGAAAATTCTTGTAAAGAGAGTGGTTTGTGTTCTCCTAGAAGCTGGGTCAGGGAAGTCCAAACCATGTCCTTATTACGAATTACTACTGACTTCTGAGGAAATTTTGTCCTTTATTTCAAGACTTTAGCCATTTTTCTACTCCAATCATATGAGAGCCCTTTTCCTTCTAAATTCATTTTTCAACACATGAAATGTTTGAGTAAATACGTTTGGAATATGAGACTGAGGGTAAGGAAAAGGGGAAGGAGAAAAGGGAGCTATATAGGCTCATGATACCTTGGGGAAAAATTTAATTCATTCAATAAATATAAATATTAAATACCTACTATGTATAGGGTTGGCGTACTGGTGGCACAGTGGTTAAGAGCTCAGGCTGCTAACCAAAAAGTCAGCAGTTCGAATCCACCAGCCGCTCCTTGGAAACCCTATGGGGCAGCTCTGCTCTGTCCTATAGGGTCGCTATGAGTCGGAACTGACTTGACAGCAATGGGATGTTCTAGGCACTATACTGAATGCTGGGATATAGCAGTGGAAAAGACAGATAGGATCCCTGCTGTCAGAGTTTACCACCTAGCCTTATAAGGTTCTTTTCCCCCACTGGCTTTACTAGTTGCTTAAGTTGATGACAGCATAGTGTTGGTGAGACCTGATCATGGACTTGAGTGCACTATAGGCCAGGAGCTTGGCTTTGCTTCATACCCATAGACTCCAACCCCAATTCAGGGGATAATGTACCAAAGCATGTTATTAGATCAAAGTAAAACCAACCCCATTACTAGAAAATCAACTCAGAGACCTGGTGGGTCATTAATGTTTTACTTATAAATAAAGTACAGAACTAATCCCAATCCAATAAATAATAGATGCTGAAGCAAAAAACAACAACAACAACAACAACAACAATGCTACACCTCTTTCGAGCATTATAGACTGTGAGTTCCTGTTTTTTATCTTGTGGAGTTTGTGAATTTCAGTTAAAATTTGACACCTACTGAGAATCTTGACAAATCTTGACAATGTCAATGCCTGCTTCTCAGATTTTGCTCAACTATTGCATGCTTTATTTTTGAGCTATAAGGAAGCTTGCGCCAAAACGTCATATCTGACTAAAACCTCTTTTCCTTTCAGAGCAAGATGGAATCTTCTACCTTCCTACACCGAATCAATGATTGCAGATACCTCCTGTTATGGATTCAGTTGTGGCCCCCCCAAAATGTGTGTCATCTTGGCTAGTACATGATTCCCAGTATTGTGATTGTCTACCATTTTGTCATCTGATGTGACTGTCCTATGTATTGTAAGTCCTACCTCAATTACGTTAATGAGGCAGGACTCAATCTACAAGACTAGGTTGTGTCTAAAGTCAGTCTCTTTTGAGATACAAAAGAGAGAAGTGAGCAGAAGAGACATGGGAGACCTCATACCACCAAGAAAGCAGAGCTAGGAGTGCACATCCTTTGAACCGGGGTCCCTGTGCTGAGTAGCTCCTAGAGCAGGGTAAGATTGATGACAAGGACCTTCCTCCAGAGCTGACAGAGAAAGAAAGCCTTCCCCTGGAGCTGCCACCCTGAATTCGGACTTCTAGCCTCCTAGACTGTGAGAGAATAAATTTGTCTTTGTTAGAGCCATCCATTTGTGGTATTTCTGTTATAGCAGCACTAGATAACTAAGACACCTCCTTTCCAGTTCTCTTTCCTCTAGGAACCATGGTCTCCTTTATCCCCCATGGATTCAAGTCTAGTGCTTGAAGGTCTTGACTATGCCTACAGCAGACACGGGTAGTATAAGATTAAGAATTTGTGGCAGAAAGCTAGAAGCCACACAGTTTTCTTTCTTTCTTGGCTTCAAAAAGACTGTCAGCTTTTGGTCTCTTTTGATGGGCTCCTTTACCACATTTGGCTTTAAATATAGCTTGTCTCATGACACAGCAGTGCAGGCGGTTCACACAGTCACCTGCTACCCAAAAGGTGGGAGGTTCAAGTCCACCCAGAGGTGCCTTGGAAGAAAGCCCTTGCGATCTGCTTCCAAAAAATCAGCCATTGAAAACCCTATGGAGCACAGTTCTACTGGGACACGTATGGGGTCACCATGAGTCAGAGTTGACTCAACAGCAACTGATTTGGTTTTCATGACACAAAACTTCCCTACACTCTATTTGTCGATGATAGTTTGCAAATAGATTAGAGAATCTCAGAGCTGGAAGGAACCTTCCTATCCAGGGCAGGAAATGTTTTCTACAGTACCCCTGACTTGAGCATCCAGCCTCCACTTGAACACCACTAGTGAAGGGCAGCTCACTACATCATCAAATGGCCTTTCCCCTTCATCTTCTCTCATGAGATGTTTATTACACAAGAACTTTAAATATGGGTGGCCGCCATGATTATGACTCTAAGGGCAGGGTTAGACCACTCCATGAGAGCAGCCAGCAATTTCCACAGTAGCATGTGGGTGGTCTGATCATTTTACACATTTCCTGGGCTTGAGAGAAAGTCTGTTCTTCATGATAACTCCACGTAGTAGCTTGGAATCTTAGAAATATGCCTGGTTGGATCTATGGAGGTGGTCTCACCCTCTCTGTCTCTTGTGGGAAATTAAGAACAATGATTATAAGACATATTATTACCCTCAGTGGAACTACAGAGACCTGGACCCAGCTGCAAGATTTTAATGTAAAAACAACAGTATGTTATCTCTCAGGACAGGACTCAATTCTCATTTCTGTCTATCCTACACTGGCTTATTTTAGGTAGCCCTGACTCACCCTCATACATATACACTGGGAATAAATAAAAGCCCCACTGTGAGAATTAACAGTGATCTTCCTTACACTCTTCAACCCACAAAACCTTTACCATCTTGTCTTGCCATGTGTAGCTTGCTCATCCTGGGGTTGACTATCAATGACTCATTCATCTGTCCCCCTTCTCTGACCCTCTTTGCACACCTCAGCCCTGAGTCACTTCAGCAGTCACAACTGGACATACACTTCAGGCTTGACCTCTGCTCTCCCTGACTTTGACCCTGACATTTGCCCTCTGGCTTGAATCACCACAGCTACAGGTAAAGACACTCTTGGGGTACCATGTCTTGGAAAATCCACCTTCCAGGTCTGCTCCTTGCTCCCTGTCCCTACTTAGTCCCATAGATTAAGTTCCCAATATACATCTCTCTTTTCTGATGCCAGTTGAGTTGCATGGGAGCACAACTGTATTTGTTTTGTTTTTAAGGTTGTCACAGGTCATTTTTATACCACCCTTTAAGCAGCGTTACATTGTGAAAAGAACATATGCACTTTACTTCTGGAATGGTTTCTTTTTATAATCAGAATAGCTAGGACTTAATATATTTTTGATGCACACATAGAGCAATACAGGTGATATGTATACATATTTTTAAAAGAACTGAACCCATTGCCCTCGAGTCAATTCCAACTCATAGCAACCCGATAGGACAGAGTAGAACTGTCCCATAAGGTTTCCAAGCAGGGGCTGGTGGATTTGAACTGCCGAACTTTTGGTTAGCAGCTGTAGTTCTTAACCACTGCACTACCAGGGCTCCTAACATGTATACATATACATACATACATACATCTTCATTGTACTCTGTCTTAGTCATCTAATGCTGCTATAACAGAAATACCACAAGTGGATGGCTTTAACAAAGAGAATTATTTTGTTACAGTCTAGTAGGTTAAAGTCCAAATTCAGGACATCAGCTCCAGGGGAAGGCTTTCTCTCTGTCAGCTCTGGAGGAAGGTCCTTGTCATCAATCTTCTCCTGGACTAGGAGCTTCTCTGTGCAGGGACCCCGGGTCCAAAGGACACACTCTGCTCCCAGTGCTTCTTTCTTGGTGGTATGAGGTCCCAAACTCTCCGCTTGTTTCCCTTTCCTTTTATCTCTTGAGAGATAAAAGGTGGTGTAGGCCATACCCCAAGGAAACTCCCTTTACATTGAATCAAGGATGTGACCTTAGTAAGGTTGTTACAGTCTCACCCTAATCCTCTTTAACATAAAATTACAATCACAAAATGGAGGGCAACCACACAATACTGGTAATCATGGCCTAACCAAGTTGACACATATTTTGGGAGGACACAATTCAATCCATGACATACTCTCATCAAAGATATGGGAGCCCCTTTGTGCTCCCAAGGCCTTGCCCCACACATAACACGTAATAAAAATACCAAAACAGATGAAGAAGAAGGAAGAGGAGGCGGTGAGGAGAAGGATGTGATGACAAGACAGTCTGCAGTGCACTTGCAGAATTTCTATTTTTCCCTTGGGAATTTCATAATATAAAGAGAATTACAGCTGATTTTTAAAAATACTTAAAATTTTGCAACCTTCATTTTACTAGTGGTTCAGAATTATATTATTTCTGAATAATTTTAGATTTTTTAATGTCTTTATTAATTCATGCTTATTAATCACGGATGCTCAGTAATCAGAATCTATGAAATAGTTGATAACATAATCTAAAAATTAAAAGCAAAGAACAACCAGAACGGCTACCACTACCTACCGTTCTGATCAGGAGCACAATAGATGAATCCTGATAGAATGGGAGCAAAATGTGGAACAGAATTCAAATTCTTAAAAAGTCCGGCCTTACTGGACCAGTTGAGACTAGAGGACTCCCTGAGACTATCGCCCTGAGATAATCTTTAAACCTTGAGCCAAAACTGTTCCATGAGGACATCTTTTAGCTAAATAACAGACTGGCTCATAAAATAAACAATATCATCTGTGAGTACTGTGCTCCTTTAAAAAGTCATCTATATGAGACCAAATGGTCAACACTTACTCTAAAGCAAAGATGAGAAAGCAAGGGGGCAGGAAAACTAGATTACTGGAAAAGGAACAACCAGAATGGAAATAAAGAGAAAGTTGACACACCATGTAAAATGTAACCAATGTCACTTAACAAATTGTGTAGAAATTGTTAAATGGGAACCTAATTTGCTGTGTAAATGTTCATGGAAGACACAATTAAATATTATTTAAAAAACAAGCAAACAAGGAAGTATCACCACAATTTATGTTTTCGCTTTGAATCGTCTTTACTTGGGTCAAGAAGACTGGATGAGAAATCTGTTCAACTTTGTTCTGTTTTTTTTAACTCCATTACATTTATTACCCATTTTCTTTTTAAGCACATATGGATCAAGGTGCAGCACATTTAAATGGCGGGTGTACAGGGAGGGAACGAAAGCAGTTTGAAGAGCAGTATGAAAATCAGGCAAGATTTTCTGGGGCAAGACTCTGTCATAGGGGTCCTGACCTGTCCATCAGAGGTCTGGTCTCTTCTGCCTCTCTCTCTCTCTTTTTATAAATTGTTGTAAATATACATGTAACACAACATTTGCCAGTTCAACATTTTTCAGGTGTACAGTTTAGTGATATCAATTATATTAATCATGTTGTGCAACCATCACCCAAATTTCCCATTCCCATAAACAGAAATTCACTGTGCCTCTCGCTTTTTGCTTCCACAATTTGCAAGTTCTTTTGAACCTTACCTATTTCTGAGGAACTACTTGGTTTCTCCTCCTCCCTCTATTTTTGACCTGAGAGAAGATTGTTTTTGCAGTTATGGCCACAAAGAATAGATACCCACTAGGGAAGCCAGTTGACTGTTTTCTGGCAGGGCCCCACATAAGAGTGGCCACATCTTATTTTGATCACCATTGTCTAGGGTCTTTGTCCTCAGATGTGCAGGTCCAGTGTTACCATGGGGTGATCAGATGGACGCATAAACTGGAGTGCCAATGTATTAATTTCCTGGAGTAAACACAACTGCCAAATGTGTCAGATACTTGTCTCCACTGGTCAGTTCATCTTCCAGCAGGAAATTCTACATGAGAACAATTAGATCATGGTCAGAAGGGAGCTTGATGATCCCAGAATCACTACATAGCGACACATTTGTGCTGCCCTTTTCTAGACTTTGCTATTCTTTCATAAACAATTTATTAGTTCACAAAATGTTCTCTAGGGAGGAGAAGGCATTTGCCTACAGCCATATGCAGTGAGCCGCAGAGTTAGAAGGGAGTACAGGTCTCCTGTCTCTCAGTCCAGGTGTTTTTCCACTTGACCACATTGGCTTTCTTTGTAGATACTTCTGCCCTGCTGCTTCTGAAATACCTTCTCCACCAGTTTGTCTTTGGACATTTACTGTCTTTCATCCTTCTGTTTCTCTATAATATCTCTGCACCTCCCACTCTGGACTCCTGGTTGCCAACTTCCTTCTAGCTTCTGGTTGCTCCACACCCTAAAAGCTGTGTAACAAATCACTCAAAACCTAGTGAATTAAAACAGCAACAATCATTTTATTATCTTTCATAGTTTCTGTGGGTGATGCCTTTGGGTAGGGCTGAACTAGGCAATTCTAGCTTACAATCTCTCATGGAGCTGTAATCAAATGG